TTCTACTATGACCATCTTGCCCATAGGCGGCTACCGAACCCCAGTAGTGGTGGCAACACAGACAGTGCCTGAGATAATGATGTAGCAGCGTCAGAGATGTCTCAAAAATAAATCAATCACAAACAATCTTTCATCTAGCAACGACAGACGATATTTACGTTACAGTAATTCTTTCACTGGGTAAATGACAATTTCACTGTTACAACATGAACACTGATATTCACAAAATTCACTGAGTTAAACTGACTCAATATGGCGAGCGTGGGAACTTTCACATACCTGAGACAATGATGAAGCAGCGTCAGATATGTGATGCTGCCCCTCGTGCACGAGTTTATATACGGCTAACTGGCAACTCAGGCCTGTGCGCTACACATGCCAGAAAGGCTAATCACGCAATGATAGAAATTACATTCAACTCAGTTACTGTACATTTAACTATGAAAATCAATGCCATAGGTCAGGTGAATTTCTTACGTCTATTTTTATAATCTAATCAGAGATTGAGCTTGCCAGGAAAAAGTGAAATGGACGTCAAATACACACGCTAACAACTCTAGTTTCACAAACTCAGCAAGACTGCGAACAAGGAACTTTTGGGATACGTTACATTTTAGAGATTAGAGTGTTTGACATATTCTTTCAGAAGATTAATGGCTTTCTTGAATAGACAACTGACACTAACTAAGCTACAAACATCAGATTCTCTGATGTTTGGGCATCAAAATAATCTAACTTCTGTAGCAATTGGAACTTCATGGCTATCCCCAGGGACAATATCACGGGATGCCATTCGTACTGGCAGACTCAACACTCACTGACTTAACAAGTGTTACTAACAATAAAGACAGTTGAAGCTTTAACATCACTCACAAAGGATCTTGAATGCTTTAACTGTAATCAGACATATCTAAGATGACTCAAAACAATGGTGTCTCTCACAATCAAATTCACTTTATAGAGAGGTAGGTTTCAGGAAGTCAGAGAAAATGGACGGCACCTAAGCTAGGGAGACATGAGACAACGGACACCTGAGATGGGAAACTCAATAAAGAAAGCTATTGAGCGTAATATGAATCGTCTGATTTTACGTTAACTGACGTGTACGACCGTGGTCATCACAGGGCTAGCTTGCAGGAGCACGCCCTCACTGAGGACCCCACATCTCTCAGCTTCAGTTGTGCCAGTTGCATTTCAAACTCGGCTCACTGCATCTCCGCCTGGACCAGCTGAATCTTCATCCGGGCTTCTCATTTCATCTGTTTCATCTTTAGTGGCGCTCATGGGCGGCTGTACTCGCATGGCTGGTACTTACCGTTTGAGTAAATTCAGTCATTTGTTTTAGTCTGACACTCCGAGTGTAGCAAAGTAGATTTTCTTTTTATAAACAAAATCCTAGAACCGGTAATACTGATGCCTCTCTTGTATGGTCACTCACATGTTGACTTAATATCTTTACTGGTGGTTTGGTGAAGGTTGGGTGATAATGGCGTCACCCACCGCCTCCTCCACACTGTACACACCCACTTTGTTCACACCTATATCCTGTCTGCTGGTGTTGTGTCTGGTTAGGCTGTGGGCTGTTTTGTACTGGAGAGTGGTGGGTGTGAGTGTTGGTGGGGTGAGTGTGAGTGTTGGTGGGGTGAGTGTGAGTGTTGGTGTGGTGGGTGTGAGTGTTGGTGGGGTGAGTGTGAGTGTTGGTGGGGTGGGTGTGAGTGTTGGTGTTGGTGGGGTGGGTGTGAGTGTTGGTGGGGTGAGTGTGAGTGTTGGTGTGGTGGGTGTGAGTGTTGGTGGGGTGAGTGAGTGTTGGTGGGGTGGGTGTGAGTGTTGGTGGGGTGAGTGTGAGTGTTGTGTGGGTGAGTGTGGGTGTGAGTGTGTGGTGAGTGTGTGGGTGTTGGTGCAGGTGAGTGTGAGTGTTGGTGGAGTGTTGGTAGGGTGGGTGTGAGCGTGACGGTAGAGTAGGGTGCAGGACCGAGGAGAGACAGCAGCACGGGCAGGAACACCAGGCCGTGATAAAGACCGTAAATATTCACCCCAAAGAATATCTGAAAGAAAAGATGAGCTCAGTTGTTTATTTTTACTCTAATAACAGGAACTGACTGTCACTGCAGGTAATACAATAGTTATAAAGCTTGTTGAATCAAGTGACCTTTAGTGGAAAAAAGAGGCATGCGTGAAAAGGATAACTCGTCATTGGTGTACACTGGCAAGTAGTTAGAAAACTTACATTACTAGAGTAGTGTTCACTCTCCTGAATGTACTAAGTTCAGTCACATAAATAATACAAAAATTCATTATTTTTTCATTTGTGTTTTGGGCTCTATTAGGTTTTTCCTTCGTAGGTAACTGACAGTCTGTTTCTCTCTTAACTTGTGGAATTTTACCAGACGTTGTCACCTCTTATCTTAACACTTATAACAGTTCTTATCGTTCACTTAATTTCTACATCGCGATAATTATTATGTCAGCAAAACGTGACGACCAACTAGACAAACTGTGTGCACAAACATGAGTAAATACTGAAGCTTTGACGAAACTGGAAAAATAAATCTGATCTCTTTTGCTAACGGTTTGATATAATGTGACCTCCTTAAAATGAAAGTACTACATTGGATTTTGAGATCTTTATAGACAGGATGAAGTGGGGTACTACCCCACTTCATCCTGTCTATAAAGATCTCAAAATCCAATGTAGTACTTTCATTTTAAGGAGGTCACATTATATCAAACCGTTAGCAAAAGAGATCAGATTTAAGACGGGTTGTAAGATGCTACCCCACTGGGGTAGCATCTTACAACCCGTCTTTACGGAGACAAATTATTGTTTGGAAGCTGCATCACCTTCTCTCGTGGCAACGTTACTTTTAACACGTATTTGTCATCTTTTTGTTTTGAGTAGTTTATAACCTCCATCTTGGGTTTTTAAGTCTTGATTTTCTGATAAATTTCATGATTACTTTTCCTCATTTTTTTATAAAATATTTAATTTTATTTCCAAAGAAACTATTACTGATTTCTTGATTGGTGTCTTGTACAAATTAATCGTTTACTTGTATGAGTCATTAAGTTCTGGGTGACGTGCACTTTTCGCAGGTTCGTTGGCCAACTGTGTTATAGTAGAGCGGATAATGGAAAACTCGTGCAAATGGTGATACAGGCATGAAATTTGGCATGATCATACCCTAGGGCAGGGGTGGGCAAAGTACGGCCCACCCCTGCCCTCGGGGACTTCT